CAGAGGAGTGCTGGCATCCACTAGTCTAGTTGCATCAAGAAAGAAAACTGCAGGCACACTTCGGCTAGCTAGCACATCTTTCCAGGTTCCCGGCTGGAGAGTAGATGTTCAAGTCGATCCTTGTTTCAGAACATGAGATAAAACATACAAGTCCATCACCTTCAGATCTTAGCACAAGAGCAGTGTAGAACGCCAACAGCCAGTGCAGTTAAACCACAGACAAGAACAGCTATACAGCCTTAGAATAGGCAACAAATACCTTACCAATGCCCCCCAACATATATAACCAAAGTGATTCTAAAAAAAAACGTATATAACCAAAGTGCCAACTTCTTTATAGAACCGTGCTGAAAACCAACCTGCACGACCACACAAGTATCCCTGATAAAAAGAACATCTTCACACAACAAAGACAAGGAGGAACCAGGTGCCACAAGAAATTATATGTCAGAGTTAAACCCAAATTGCAAACTATTAACCCAAGCAAGGATCCAAACTAACCATTCCAACAACTACATAGTTATAGTCCCACAAAGAACTTCTTGGTGGCACTGTTTTCTTAGCAAAAATACTAGATTGCTTTTGATTGCTGCACTGATTCTCTAATAGCATGAATTCATCCTACACATTAACAACTTAGGAAGTAATTAGCATTTAGATTTGCAACCAGTGCCATTCACACTGGTTAACAATGCTAATTCAAAGTAAACAGGGGAGACATAGCACAGATGTATATCATAGATACTCCGACACATCGTGATGGAGCTTAAGATAGCACAAACGGCACCAGATGGTCGCAAAAGTGATAACACAGCCATATAAAGTGTTTAGTTCTACAGGTAGTACTATAAGGTAAGAACTAGGACCATGCTCATATATGATGGAAACTCCGAAAGCGTACATGGCAAACTAGAAGTACAAACCGCCTTATAGCCCTATGAAGAATGGAGGCTCCTTATCCACACCACCTTCTTCTTGCATCTCACAGAACGGAAGTGGAAGAATGCTCTCCTGAAAGTACTGATAAGTGAAGTATACGGAGTACTTTCCCTCTTTGATTTCAACATATCCCAAAAACTTTCCATCAATGTCACAGTGCAACATAAAGTCGGGACACTCCGATGCAGTGTGACAATAGATCAGCAGCTCACGCTGGTTAAGCAGTGCCATCTTAGAAACATACTCGAATTGTGGTAATGTCTTCATCGCTAACAAGTTAATTCGGTACTTCAAGGCCCAGGCCTCAGCCTCGTAGTCTTGCATCATCCAAATCTCTATGCTGGCATCATTGGTGCTGCATGAAGCAAGCTTGTTGTCCATCTCCCACAATGACACCTGATAGCCCAACTGGCCAGAACTGCGCATCCACCGGAACGTCTCAGTTACTGTGTCGAACACCAAGATGTCCACAGAAGTCTCCGTCTCCATTCCCGTTAACCAGTGCAGGCTGCCCCGGTGGTTGACTTGTGAACTACAGCAGGAATCAAAAGCCATATCGCGCCTGCATTTCGGCAAACGTGATGACACTGACGGCCGACTAACGATCCTCGGCTTGTCGGATCCTACCGTTAGGATGTAGCCACGATATGAGCCATTTGAGAACCAGAGCACCCGGTATTCCCCAGATGGATGGTGCCGGTAGAAGCCAGCTACGTAGTCATCGGAACCCTCTGACGAAGGCGATGAAACTCGAGGTTGTGGTAGTAGAGCACATTTGCGAGTGGCCGGGTTGCAGATCCAGAAATCGGATTCGCCGGCCAAGATTAGAAGGCCATCACAGGTGCCCACGAGATAACTTAACTTAGAGTGCTGAATGATTGGCCAGAGGTTTTGGTCGGAGGCTCCTGCATCGTTATCACAGAAGACAATGAACCCGACTCCTTCCTGCCCAGGGATATGCTTTCTGATCACAGGGAGCAAGGGTTGACGGCAGCAGTTGTCGAGCATGAACTTGTTGCTGGAGGTGGCACTGTGCCACATCTTGCGGACAGCACGGCAGCGAAGGAGGTCCTTGGGGGGCAAACGGACAAGGATCTCTTCGATGACAATCCAGTCGGGCAGGTCGTCAAGGACGGTCGCGTGGCTTCTTTTCGTCATGGTGATTGACTGCCACCGGTGTTCCGTCAAATCTACGGTAAAGAGAAAAAAGACGGAGATGATTGAGGTTATCTGTACCCTGAAATTCAACTTGGCAAACGCATAACAGTATTTGGCATAAGACCAAGAGATAACGTGATGCTTTTATTATATTCAAATGTTTTATGGCAGAGTACTGCTATGAAGAATCTACCATATAAAGCAGCCAAAATCCACTGGCGTGAACCATAACTCAAAAGTGTAAATTGGTTAGAGTTTTACAATTGTCGGCCGAATCCTACATAAAGCAGAAAATCAAGTAGCAAATACGCCAATAGTTTCCTCATTACGTGATCGTTTTGCACATTCTGTCATTCAAAGTATATTTACTGCAAGAACATGTCAGTAGTGACTAATGAATAGAAGGTTACACGAATGAAATGCTTCCTATGCTTGTTGTGATCACATCATAGTTCTAGTGATCTCAGTTGAGATGCAATCGAACATAGCGTGCTTTGTAATCAAATGGACATGCATAATGCACCAATCAGCTAGCAGAACTTTTAATCCCTGTTGACTACTCTGCAAAAAATGTGTATATACTATATACCAACCATGTGTTGTGATTGCATCAGGTAATGGGGGAGGAGGCAGGGGTTCCCAAACCAGAGGCTCCAGGGACTAATAGTGGCTTTGTTTCTATCAATGGTGATGTTTCTCATAACCGAATTCTTATATAACTTTCTTTGCTGCAACAGCTAACATTCAAACTCAACTGGGTGTTACACATTCCTAGGGAACTTGATGTAAAAGCGCACAATTGTGCAGCTTCTTCCTATGGCTTGTTGTAGTGTCACAGGACATGCAGGAGATCACTGTCCTACGCTTGTGAAGCTATGCAACGTATGCGCACAAGACTGTCAAATCATATCTCCAATTAGTGTCTGAAATGAATACAAGGCGCCATCACTTGTCCAAAAAAAATCTTATTATATACTACTTCTAGTTGATTAAAAAACAAGGTGAGTGTGTGGAGGTTCCAAGTGCAGGTTTCGTCTTACCAGTACCAGAGCAGCGGAGGCGTCGCCGTCGCCGTCGCGGACGAGGCGACGGCTCGCTCGTCACCGGGACGCAAGCGCCTCCCGCGGCGACGGGGAGGAGGAGGGTGCGGCGAGGCTGAGGATCTTCTCGCTGCAGCGGCGGCGCCGGTCGGTCGGGTCTGGACTGAGGCGAGGAAGGGGCCGCGGCCAGAAATGATGTCGTCCGCGATAAGGTGCAGGGCCGGAGTGCCCTCGGCCCAAATCAAACGAAGGCCCGTGTGAGTGGGCGGGTTACTACTACACAATGAGAGAGTGCGAGACGTTTGCAGCCTATGAATGGCCCAAAATATCGGTAATCCACTTCTGAGCCCAGGCTCAGCTGCACCCGCCCTTACAGAAAAAATCAAAACAAATATTTAAAAAATTTAAAAAATTCCAAAAAAAATTGTGTGGTAGATAATTTGATGCGTGAGGTACACTCCAATTTTCAAATCATTTAAACATCTGAGCAGCTCTCGACAAAAAAGACAAATTTGGGGTCTGTAAAAATGTTTGTTGTTCATGCACTGTTCTAACCCAATTTATCTTTTTTGCTGAGAGCTTCTCAGAACTCCAAATGATCTCAATTTTGGAGCGGACCTCACATGATAAATTGTCTACCATGCAAAAAAATATTGGAATTTTTTGAATTTGTTTTGAATTTGTTGTGATTTTTTTACTGGACACGTGTAGATGAGCTTGGGCACCGAAACGCCGCACTCCCAAAATATAAGCAATGTGCCGATGGAGCAAAATACACAAAGGTAGGCAAATCCTTACTCTTTTCTCAAAAAAAAGGCAAATCCTTACTCGAAATAGGCTTTCGCCCCGCTTTATAGATAAAGCAAAATTTCGTACAACAGTCAAGCAAATCCAAGCTACAAACCAACGGTTGGGGTCACAACACAGCAATGCCCAAGAAAACATAAAAGAAATATGAGAAAAGGCCACCTAGTGGCAGTCGCGAAGCGACACTACGATGCTGAGGGCCCGACGCACTGTAGCTAGAAGCGCATCCATCATGTGGCCGAGGCAGGTACGGTCACGCTGCCTCGAGAGCGGGTGCCAGTGCTGCATAAAAGTAAAGAATTTGAAGGAGTCAGATGCCTTCGCCAGGAAAACCTTCTCAATCACCATCTTATTACAAGTCGTCCAAAGTGTCCATGTCATCACCGCAAAAACTAGCCAGAAAAAGGCCTCGATGTTATGGCAAATCCTTCTCTTGGACAAAAGTTTGGAAATTTTATGTCCCTTCGAAACTGATTTTTTTTGTATGGAGGTTAGCCCATCACTCTCCATTGTGGATACCCTTCATGAACGCAAGATGGCAATGACGAGCATGTGCGCACTGTGTAGATGTGAAGATTCATGGTGTCATTCCCTAGTAGACTGCATAATGTCGCGCTGCACTTGAGCGCTCTCTGATCCATGCTTAACTGACATCGCATGTACGGCGCCTCATGCGAAACAATGGCTGTTCTTCATGCATGATACACTATCTCAGGAGGAATTCACAAAAATGATAGTGACTCTATGGCCATCTGGTTAGCGAGATGCAAGGCAATTCATGAAAGTATCTTCCAGAACCCTGAACATATTCATCGCTTTGTGAATTTATACCTATCAGAGCTAGGTGCAATTCACGCTAAAGCTTCGACTACAGCGAGTGTTACAAGCAGGAGGTAGCTTTCGCCAATGCTAGGCCACACGAAGATCAACGTTGACGGAGCTTTTTCTCGAGATGGTATGGTGGCCGCGGCTGCTGTGGTATGCAAAAAGGAGATTGGAGAATATATGGGAGCATCGGCCATTGTTGTGCACAACGTAACTGATCCAACAAGCATGGAGGCCCTGACCTGTCGGGAAGGTCTCTCTTTGGCTGAAGATCTCAACCTAGCAAGTGTCCATATGGCATTAAAGTGGTTATCGAGGACATTGATCAGGGAACTAGTGCCCCGTATGGTGCAATCATCCAGGAGGTTATAGGACCGAAATTGTCTATGACTAGTTGTCATCTCATGTATGAAAATAGAAACTGCAATTTTGAGGCACATCACCTTGCAAAGCACGCTTCGTATTTAGATGTCGGTCGTCACATTTGGCTGGGTAAGCCTTATGATCTAGTTAATATTCCTGTAAACATTATTTCAGATATTTAATAAAGTGTGTGTTTGCCTAAAAAAGACAAATCCTTCTCTCTCTCTCTCTCTCAAAAAGGTAGAAAATTCCGAGCTTTCCCTCAAAAAAGAAGATAAATCCAAGCTGAGCTGACCTGAGCTAGGCACCCAGAATTAGAAATGACACGCACTTCTAGGCCAGCATCCCACCGGCGACTTGCTGGAGCAATCCTTCTCCTTCGGCGGCATTATCTGCACTGCCAGGTCATCAGAAATGCGCAAAGTGGACAAAAGCACTTACAGTCCTATCGTAGTCACCTTGCGTGGGTGAAAGCCGCTGGCATTTACCTAAAAAGGCTTTCGCCTCGCTTTATATATAAAGCAAACTGCCCAAGCCGTACGATATCATTTTTTAGACGCAAAGCCTATGCAATTTTCACGAGGAAGCGCTCAGGGGTTTTGCGATATGTTTCTGAGAGCACGTAGCTATCTGGAAAGATTTTGTGAATCAATATCTATATTTATACCTACTAATAAAGCAAGGTGCATTTTTCCGATTTTTTTATCGGTTCACCATTAAAAAGTTTTTTTTCCCTATCCGAGGTGGTACTAAATGTTTGTGCCTCCGTTTGCTAGAAAAGAAAAATCAATTTTCGTACATGGGCCGTGCATATTGTGGCCCGTCGAAGCCAGCCCACTTATTTCCCTGCGCACACTGCTGGAAAACCCTATTTATCACACATGGTGAGAAATAGTCTGACGCACATGGCCGAAGGTTGTCCCAGCCCGTTTTCATTTTTTTCTGTGTTTATTTCTATTTTATTTTTCGTTCCTTTATCTATTTCTTATTTTATTTTTTCCCTACAACATTATTTTTTTACATTTTTTCTTAAAACCAAATTTTAAAAAATCAGAACTTTGATTTGTTTTTTCAATTTTTAGAAAATAATTCTGAATTCCAAAATTTTGTTCCTCTTTAAAAATTTTGAAACTTGAATTTCTTTTTCTCATTCCAAATTTTTTTCAAAATTACAAAAACAATCCAATTTTTTAAAAAAGGTTTGTGCTTGCCAAAAAAAAAGAGATATTCAAAATATAATTGCATTTTAGAAAATGTTCCATTTGTTCTAAAAAAAATTGTGTTCTCCAATATAAATTGGGATTTTCAAAATCAAATTCGTTTTCAAAACACGTTCTAGATTCTATAAATATTCTTGTTTAGTGAAATGTTTACAAATTCAAAATAATGATCGTGGTTAAAATAGACACATTTTAAAAAATTATTATAAATGTTCCCAAATTTTAAGAAAAATAATGCTTTCTCAAAGGTTCATGTTTTCAATAAATGTTTGTGATTTTTTTTAAAAAAATTCCCTATTTCAAATGTTGTTCATCTTTTTCCAAAATGAACAAAAAAAATTAAAACTTTCCGTGATTTCAAAAATTGTTCATTTTTAAAAATATTTTGCAATTCATAAATATTAATTTATTTTTGGAAGATTTTGAAAAAAAACAAAAAAAGGTTTTGAATATGGTGATGCAGTATGTTCTTAAACGTTCGTGCTGGTCATTGGTAAGCATGCCCCATTTATTCGAGTGACCAGTACCCAGTGGTCAAGTTTTCAGGTCGTGAGTCCGATCCTTCAACTTGTCGTTTTTTAGATTTATACTCGTGCCTTACAAATATGGGTCCTTTTGGTGCCTGCCAGTGGGCTGGCCCAGACGCGAACTATTGTGCGTCCCATGCGCTATTTGACGCTAAAAGAGTATGCTTTTTGGTTATAATTGAAATAAATTGTAGACACAAGCCAACAAAAGAGAATAT